TTACAAAGAAAATAGACTCAGTGCTATATGTGGAAATATAAACTAATAAACTAATGAATACATGCCTTCCTTTAAGATATTTTAATGATATTGGTATCAAATACTTGGTAATATATTAGATGTACTTCCATCTAATACTTGGTGATATATTAGATGTACATTTTTCATGTAAACGCAAGAGTTGTCCCCCCATAAATACTACACATAATATGAGTTCTCTTTGTGCTTGATCCACTTACCTTGGGTCGGATTTTTATTGGTCATGGACGGTTGGACCAATCGGACAAAACAAGGAATTGGGAACAGTTCAGTGCATTCTATTATTTAATCTAGCGAAATGTGAATACCTCTCATATTATGTGCACTAGAAGTGAGCTATTTTTCATGTTTTCTACTTTTCTAGGCACCACCTGTAACCTTAAATCCTGCACTCCAGGCTACGCGGCTCCCGAAACTTTAAAGGGCAGAAATCAGGGTCCAAGGATTGACATTTGGGCCGCTGGGATAATGCTCTACATTCTTCTTTGTGGTAGATTTCCTTTCCCGCGAGGTATGGTAGAATCGTAGTGGTCTTAATAGTACTCCTACATAATTAAAGGAAAAAACTTTCAAATAAATTACGGGTTCTTTAATTAGTGGTCAACGGATTAAAGGGAAAAAGTTTCAAATAAATAACGGGTTTTATAATCAGCGCTTAACGGATTAGCAGATTGTTGAAAACTGCATGCTTTTGTAAAAATTCTCAATTCATAAACCGATAATGATTTAGACCTGCACAAATTTTACCAAACTTAATATAAGACAATCTTAGTGGGATAATCAAAAATGAAATATGGAACAATCTTAGTGAGACGGAGGAAGTAATAATCATACCATAGAGCTCCACTTCTTTTATTTACTATGTATAGTAGCCCATCAAAGTTTAAATTAAATTAAATGGTAACTTAATGTTCCAACACTTTTGCAATTTTCTTCTTTCAATTTATTCTCTTCTCTACACTCATGCATGTTTAATGGTTTTTTGTGTTCAGGTAATCCATATGAATTGTTTGATGTCATTGTTCGTGCTAAAGTTTGTTATGAGCGCTCTCCTTGGCCAGACAATTCTAATGAAGCTAAAGATCTAGTAAAAAAGATGCTTAATCCAAATCCAAGTGAACGACTTACAGCTGCTCAAGTTCTTAGTAAGTTTCCTTTTTATTGAAGTTACATTCAAGTTTTCGAAAGGGTAATATAACTCTCCAAATATGAGTACAATAAAAACTGAGGAGTACATTGCAAGATTTAAGATAATTACAAAGATAAATAATACTATTGAATATAATAAAGTATTCCTAACACAAAATTTTCCACTTATTTAAGAAAATGCCACCACATTTTTAATCAAATCTGATTCATTATTGACGTTTTTAGGTCTATCAGATCTTAAGTCCAATGCACGAAAATCATTAAGGTTTTCACACTAAAACTTCGTTGTATTTAATCCAAAACACACACACATTTATAGGGAGTGGTTCCTGTGAAGAAGGACTCTTAGGATAGAAATGATTATAAATTTGGACCATGTATTATGTGAAACTTAATTGTGCATGTGGTGAAACTGAATAATGCATTAGGTGAAATTGAAATGTGAAGAATAAAAGGTAAAACTCAAATGTGCATTGCGTGAAATTGAAATGTGCAGAATAAAAAGCACAAAAAGACCACCGCAACGTAGCTTTTATTCTACACATTTCAGTTTCACCTAATGCACATTAAATTTTATAAAATATAATCTAACGGTCCATATTAATTCTCATTTTTCTCCTAAGATCATTTTCTCATTTGAACTTAATTCTATATATATAGAATTAATGTGAGAACATGAGAACACTCACAATTATGTGTGTGTGTTGTGGTTCTAGTGAGAACGATGTTTAACGTGAGAATATGAGAACACTCACAATTAACCCAATGTAATACACAATAGATCCTGTCTTGTGCACATTTTTGCCTTTACTCAAAACAAGCCAATATAAACAATCATGGTGGCATTTTGATAAATATTATGCCGAACACGAAAATGTGCATTCGGCGAGCCTTATTGTGAATCACATTGGGGTAAATGTGATGTTTTCACGTTCTCACGTTAAGCACTAGTTCTCATTGTTCTCATTGAATAATTTGAATTCATATTTTGATTGTGAATGTTCTCATTAAATAATTTAACCAGGACCCGCCGCCTAGCCAATCAAGATCATTTGGGGCCCTTTCCTTGTGGAATATTTTGATAAAAAAAAATTGAGCAGGCTCTTCATCAAGTCTAACTTATGTCGACCAAATTTCAACTATAAGTTCAATCAGGAAGTTAGCCAAATGTCGAATTGAAAAACATTGTGCGGTTTATAAATAATTTATTTAGCTGCATTCCCGATTCGTTTTTTAGTTGAACTTTTATGGGCATAAACTAGACTTGATGAAGAACATGCTCAAAATATTTCATTGAAAAATTCAATCGGAAAGGATTCCAAATGACCATGGTCAGATGGCAAGAACTGTCAGGAAGACCCGACATAATAGCTAATATGTGTGTGTAGCACGATGATTTTTTTACTATCATTAGGTCTCGCTTCCAAAGAAGTGAACTCTACTCTAACATCAAAAGATTGTAGTGATACCTCACCACCTAAATATAGGAGTGATACCATACTTATGGAGATTGTCTAATGGAAAGTTTGAAGAATAACGCGAAAAAATGGCAAGATAAATAGGATGGAGAACAAAAAAAAGTTATGTGAGGTTTTATATCAAAGCTTAGCAAAAGTTGATGCATTGTATAATTTTAATAATATGGGGAATGATCTAAAAGTGATCATTCATTCTAAAGGCTTTTTATCCCCTGTGATACCTAGCATGGCGGTGTGTGACGTCTTAACATTCTTTGCAAGATGGTGACCGATTAAAGTAAATTAACTTATGTTCATGCCTCCAAATTCCCTTTGAAGTTTAACTCATACTCCCTACGTTCTTTTTTAGTTGCAAGAGTCAACATTTCACATTTGCCAACGCACGTCTTTGACCGTAATTATATCTTAATTCTATTAGTAAAAAAAATATTAAAAAACAGATTTTAAATATTTGTAATGAGATGAATTGAACAATATTTTTTTAAAATAATAATTTTCATAAAATAATAGCGTAAAATGTAGTCAAAGTAGAGCATGTGAATAGTATAAAATTCAACATGTTGCGATTAAAACGGAACGGATGATAGTAAGTTCTAGTGTGTATTAAATCAAGGGGAATTTGGAGTTGAGTTTACTTCTATTTCTTTTTTAAAAGTAAAAATAGAATCAGAATTGGATTTTCAGAAACTAGTCTCTCCCGACTTATCAAATATTGCATCTATGAGCAATTTAGAGCACTTAAAAGTACTTATGCGATTTCACCCAAATACTTCAATATATGTTTCTGCTCTTTGAAAGAGAATAAGCAGTTTTAAAAAGCAGATTCTTTGTCACGGATTTTGTCACGGATCTATCCGTGACAACACGTTTTCGTGACAAATCCCAATATTCCGTGACAAAGCCCGTGACAACTTTGTCACGGTCGTAATCTGTGACAAAAATCCGTGACAAAATGCGAGTTTTTTTGTAGTGTGCACCAAAAGGTCAATAATCTAATGTACAAGAATATACCAATGCTTCATATGGTTTGCTATTTTAAAATGTGTCTGGTGTTGAAAGGGTTTACAGTATGAAAGCTCTCTTTATTTGAACCTAAAGCATTAGCTTTAAGAATTTACCCTCATGTTGCCTTTTACTACGTAATAAATATAAATAATCGAATATATGTTGATTACCCTTCAAATTAATTACCTCCATCTTAAATCTCTTACTATTCTCACAATTAAATCTTTATAGGTCATCCATGGCTACAAAGAAGAGGGCGTCGCTCATGTTATGATCAATTGAACATGTTGCTAAAGGGATTTTATGCATATGGTAAAAATTTGCTAAGTATACAAAATCATGTATGTGATTATGACAATCAAGCAACCAAACGAGACTAAGATAGACTCCTTGATATTTTTAAATTTTAGAATAATATTATATGCATTTATATTATTAATATTATCATTATTATTATAATATTCCTCACTATTGTAAGGGAATATTTTGAAGGGGGACGAATTTACATTGAAATAGTATCACACACATTCACATTTCATAAACACTAAACAATATTGGGAAAAGGGGCAAAAACACCCCTGAAGTTGTCAGCAAAGGAGATCTATGCGCATAGACTTAAATTTTGAGCAAAAATCTTGATCAAACCTTAAAACTTAAGAGGGCAAAAGGCCCCTTTTACCTAACGGAAACAAGACTTAATAGGAGGCAACCGTTAAAGTTTGTTATTTGGCTATTATACAGGCACTATACTAGTACAAAACAAATGGAAAAGGGAACCATTTAGATTAATATATCTTTATTTGGACAAGTAAACACTAAAATAACTCAATGATTTGAGATTAAGGATATTTATTCCATAAAAAATCCCAATTTTATGATGTTTAATTTATAATTATTACATAATCTGTACTCAATATTGTAAAATATTAAGTACTACTCCCTCCGTCCAGCTAATATTGTCCAATTTTATCTTTTCGAAAAATCCACTAATATTGTCTCATACCTTATTTGGCTATTATACAGGCCGTATACTAGTATAAAACAAATGGAAAAGGGAACCATTTAGATTAATATATCTTTATTTGGACAAGTAAACACTAAAATAACTCAATGATTTGAGATTAAGGATATTTATTCCATAAAAGATCCCAATTTTATGATGTTTAATTTATATTTATTACATAATCTTTACTCAATATTGTAAAATATTAAGTACTATTCCCTCCGTCCAACTAATATTGTCCTATTTTATCTTTTCGAAAAATCCACTAATATTGTCTCATACCTTATTTGGCTATTATACAGGTCGTATACTAGTATAAAACAAAAGGAAAAGGGAACCATTTAGATTAATATATCTTTACTTGGCATTCTTCCCCTATTACATTTTGTTGCAGTTGCTGTACTTTTTCTTTGATTGGTAAAAATGCCAAGTTCAAATCTTAAAATGTCAAGTTCAACTCTGAAAATGCAATCAAAATGGCATTCTTTGTCTTAAAACAATTTGTATTTTTCTTTGCAAATGCCATTAATGTCATTCAGATAAAAATCTTGACATTCACACCGGCAACAACCAAATCTAAAACTGAGGAGGTCAGATTTGCAACAGTAGATGCCGAATATAGTTCGACAGTGGCTAGATCTGCAAGGGCAGTCTTCGACGGCCGACGGGGGCTAGAATTTTCCAGATCTCCAACAACGTTAGCCAGATCTACATCAACAGTGTCCAGATCTACAACAGCAGCCAGTTTTTGAGGCAACAGAAATGCCCGAAAACCGGCGGCGGTAGGCGACGACCGGCGAAAGGCGGTGGCCCTGTGTTCCAGTCTTAGCACTCAGCAGTATCACTTCCAAGCATCAAGAGCATTTTTGTCCAATTACATATTATTACTCTTATTTAGGAATTTTTTTGACTTTAGCCCTATTTTGACGATTAAAAATTGATTTACTCCTATTTAGGAAAATACCTCTATTAAATTCTGTTATAAACGATTGTGCTTAGTAATAACAGTCTTTTACACACAGTGCGCTGGCAATTATAAACACAGTCAAAATATAACAGAAGAAACACAGTCCTCAACATTACCTTGAAACTTAACTTCATTGAAAATCAAAGAACTGATGTTTTGGAGTAAACATCCAGAGTTAAGCAGCAGGGCGCAATCCAAATCAAATCGGCTAAGTTCGAGATGGCGAATTGTGGGGCAGGCGAATATACAGATCGGCAGCTTTAGACGGGCTTGAACCGATATGTGCAGATACTCAATGTCATTTTCAGATAGATATAGACACCACTGGTGAAGCTCAGATTGCTGCAGCCCTTCGGGGTCGATTAACCCCTTTCGCACGCTGAATTTCTTCACGGGAGCAAGACGGCGGGAGAGAATCTGAGTAATTACTTCGGCGGTATTGTTCCGAACGTGCCGGAAGAAGCTTTCACCAAACAATAGCGTTTTGAGCTGCAACCAGACATCCTTCCACTGGGTTGAAAGCACAGCGGTTCTGGCGGCATCTCGAGTGCAATCCAAACACTCTAAAATTCTCTGTTTTAGATCTGTTGGGAGTGCACTTATGAAATCTTTTCTTTCATCTTCCGATGCCGAACCGCTACCACCACAATCCGCCATTACATCAGATCAGTCACTACTCCACAGGGAGCATCTTTTATGCTCCGTATATATATATGTACTTGGGCAATGAAGGATATTGTCTGTGTCTAGTCTCGCCGTCTTCCATTACCCGTTTATCAAATAATTGTTGAATTTTGAGATGCTCCGATTCCGGGAAGCGCAACAGTTTGTGATTTTGAAAGAAAGTGCAACAATTCGTTGATTATTTTCAAAGAAATAAGAGAGAAATATGAACCTATATGTGAGGAGAGATTCGAATAGACAAAGAGACCCTTAAAATTTAAATACGAAGTACATGAAATATACTTCCTCCCTTCATTAAAATTTTTTCAAATTTAATCGACACGATAATTAATAAAGTAAAAACTGTGTAATTGATGTTTATACAGAGAAGAAAGAATTAACTGCAACCACAAATTTTTATTTAAAAGAGAAAGTGACAAAGTTAGTGGAACATCCAAAAAGGAAAGTTGACAAATTTTAAGGGAAAAGAGGGAGTATAAATTAGTTACTCCGTATAAAAAATAATGAAAATAATTTCAAAAGACCCTAAACTTTGAAAGACTATGAGCCTATGAAGTAAACCCTCAAACTTGCATATGTAATTTAAATACTTCAAACTTTGTATAAACCTTCAATTTTTTGCACCATTCTCATGTATGATTGTTTCAAAAAAATACATTTGTACGGTTAATTGTATAATTCAAAATAGCAAATTGAAAATGTTATAATTATATAGATTAAGGGTAACATTATTTATATCGCAATGAAAGTTTAGAGTAATAATTGTGTCTTCATGAATTTTAAAATATGTTAAATTATGCAATTAACATCATAAATTTACGTTTTCGAAAAAAATAATACATGAAAATTGTGCGAAAATAACTTTTTATATAAAGTTTGGTGTATTTAAATTGCATATGCAAGTTTAGGTTGTTTATCTCACACCCTTTCAAACTTTGGGGTATTTTTATTATTTTTCCCTGAAATAAAATATCATTGTACATATATGTGATGGATAATTTACTTTAGATATGATTAGATATATATGATTAAAATAAAAATTGTTTATAAAAATGTGGATGGTGATTAAAGAAGCAAAAGAATTATAGTAATTTGTTTTCAATTTTATATTTAATTTACCATGATACTACATTGTAGTAACTATTTATCAAATTTGTGTAAATAAATCTTATTTTAATTATATTTTTGAAATAAACCCTTCACTTTAACATAAAGATTAAAGCATACATTTTAAATAAAATGTGATTAAAATAAAGATTGTTTATAGATATGTGATTAGTGAGTAGTGACTAGCGTAATAATGCAATCATAGTAATTTATGATCAATTTTTAAACTTAAAGATGCTTTTACTTGGACAAGAATTTTCTGATTTGTTCTGATCTGGTCTGTTGTGAAAATCTGATCTGGTAAATGTAAGATTTTGTGCATTTTATAATTTTCCAAGTAAAAACATCCTAAGTTGACATGACGTTACATTGTAGTAACTATTAATTATAATTTTGTAAATAATTTTTTTTAGTAATATTTTTGAAAAAAACTCTAAATAGTCTCTAATAAACCATCACAAGTTTTGTTTTTAGATTACTACTAGTTGTTTTTACAAAATGATAAACACAACTATATATGGCAAATGAAATAAATAAGACAAAAGATTTTATTTTGATATACGGACATCGAGTGCTTCAAAATTGAAGCGGTTTTCCCCCAATATTACTAAACTAGAACTAATTTTCAAAAAAGTGACCACATTTAAATTTGGACAAAAATGTGACTAAGATGTTCATTCATGTCACTGCACCACTTCCATATCACTATCGTCGTCATCGCCTGTGTCACTGCCGCCGCCATTGCCCAGGTCATCGGCCTCGCCGCCGTCACTGCCGGTCACAGTGACACCTTTGCAGTGACATCATGTCACTGTCGGATGTCACTGCCGCTATCCTCGTGTCATTGTTGCCGCCATTACCGGTGTCATTTTCACCGTCATCGCTCGTTCACCGCAGACCACACTACCATAGTGATACCGCCGTAGTGACACCACCATAGTGACAACGCCGCAGGCCACAGTGACACAGTCACACTAACGCAACCGCTAGCACCACCCAATTACCGCTACCACACCACTTCGATGACTGTCACACCGCTTCAACCGCCGCATAGGCGCCTAGCCCAACTAGTCACAGCCCCCGGCAACCACCAGCCTGATGCCCTAGCACCCCAAACCCAATAGAACACCACTCCAAACCCAATAGAACACCACTCCAAACCCATTCCACCAGCCCAGGTGCCCACCGCCCCCACCCGCACCCTCCTCAGCTAGCTCCAGTCCCTCCCCTCCCCTGTCACAGCCCCATCACCAACAAACTTCACAGCGGCCACACGCATCAGATCCTCACCCCGTGCCGTCTAGCCCCGCCCCAACCTGCCCCCAACCACCACCCCCATCTCCTGGTCTGACTAACCCAGCCCTCAATCCACCCCTCCCCAACCTCGAATTAGCCTCAATCCACCTCGGCCGGAGTAAGGTGAAGAAGAAAACGAGTGCAGATCTAGGGGAGATAGCAAAGGTTGGCTAGCTACGATGAAGAAATTCGATGCGATGGGGGTTGGCTGCGACGAAGACAACATCGACGATGGTTGGTTGGGACGAAGATAGCAGCGGCGATGGCTAGCAGGGACGAAGACAACGGCGGTGAGGGTTGGATGGGACAAAGACGGCTGTGGTGGAGTGCGTGTGTTGGCTGCGATGAATTCGGCATTGGTCTGTTTCCTTCAATCCGCAGATCTGCTTCGTTCCAAGAGGCAGATGAGAGTGTCCGTTGAGAGAAGTTGAATTTTAATCATATATTTGGAAATATTAAAAAGAGTCATATTTTTGTGTATAGAAGTGTGGGAGTAATATATGTGCCATTCTTTCAAAAATGAATACCGTAGAGCTACTCTCGTAGTCTCGCATGTACAGGTGTACTAGTTTTATTTATCTCCTCTACAGTGGCCGGTTTAGAATATAATTTTAGAGTATTCAATAGTTTTTTGTAACTAGAATTTTAAATAATACCGATACGTAATAAATAATTATATTAAATTTACATGTTTTAAAAAATATTGGTGTTTATGTGAACATGTTACAACAAGAGTGGCTCCGCCACTGCTCGCATATACATATATGAGGGTCATGATGAATGAGAAAAAATAGAGATCTATGAAAGGTACGACTTACATGAAAAGAGAAAGGACGTAAGAAGAAAAATGGAACAACCTGAATATGTTGTTACGGGCAAATTGCTAGGGCGGCGAGAAAGGTATGACAGATATTGCGGCGGCGGCGCCTCCCCCTCTTATCAAGGTGTGGTCGGGTAAGTCTTTTGCAGACGTAGTTGCTAATACGTCTACAGGATTGCTTTCGGCCAAAACTCTATCTCCCTATAGAGGATTGTCAGCCATCACATTCCCATATAGTGATATCACTATTGTTGCTGAAAGGCATCGTAGATCGCTGATTGGATATTTTTACAAAGGTAGGCCGAGTTTGGATTTCATTCGTAAAGCATTTGAGGCCATTGGTTTCAAAGGCTCCTTTCATTTGGGTGTTTTGGAGAAAAAACACATTGTGATTCGTTTTGAGTCCAATGAAGATTACTTTCGATGTTGGAATCGGCAGAGTTGGAACATAAGAGATTATGTGATGCGTGTAACCAAATGGACCTCGGAGTTCCGGCCAAATGTTGAGTCTCCGGTGGTTCCAGTTTGGATTTCGTTGGAAGGCTTACCTCTCCATCCTCATGATAGGAGAGCCTTGTTTGATATTGCGGGTCTTATTAGTAAACCCCTGAGGATTGATAGTGCTACAGCTAATTTGTCCAGGCCTTCTATGTCCCGGGTTTGCATTGAGATGGATATCGCAAAGGAATTGCCACAGAAGGTGTGGATTAATTTTGGGAAAAATGGTTTTGCTCAGCCGGTCATTTATGAGTACATGCCGGAGTATTGTTCTTATTGTCTACATTTAGGGCACTCCCATTCAAATGCCCAAAACAAAAGCCTAATGTCCTTACTCGAAATCAATTATCTAACGATAGATGGCTGGAAAAAAGAAAGGATGAGCAACATAAGCAGGTTAGGTTCACACAACAGGAGAAAGGCAAAGCAACTATATCTGCACAGCAGGAGAAAGGCAAAGAAAATATTACAAAGAATGTCAATAATTGCAAAGCATTAATAGTGTCAAATCAGCCATCTACTTCAAAACTTCATGCCACTCAGAGTAAAGAAAATATTACAAAGAATGTCAATAATTGCAAAGCATTAATAGTGTCAAATCAGCCATCTACTTCAAAACTTCATGCCACTCAGAGTGATGAAGACACTGATACAGAAGAAGTCTTTCATGAGCAGCCCCCGATTACAACGCAGCAGGTTGCAAATAATTCAGAAGAAGATCACAACCAAATGATTGACTTGGCAAGTTTGAAACTACTCCTTCAGAAGCAAGTCCCTGGGATTCTACACACAAAGAGCATTAGTCAATGTAGTGATGATTTTCAGATAAAGAAGTTGCAGAAGGTGTTAGAATTTGATCCTGTCTTAGCTTCTAAGGAATACTCATCAGACCGTGAAAATAGAAAACCTATTGCTATTGAAGAGTGGGAAGATAAATGGGAGGACATTTCTTCCAAAGTGGACGCTATGGCCAAGCATCTTGAATTAGAAATTGAGGATCTTACTCTGGAATAGTCTGATCAGGCATCTCCTAAGGAGGACCAAGCTGAGGAATCTGTGGGTCCTAATTTGGATCAATCTGGCTAGGCTGAGGAATCTGAGCACTCTATTTTCAGGCAGCTATCAGGCAGGGTTTCACTGAAGTCATCAACAAGAGAAACAGGATGAAGGAAACCATTGTAACCCCCTGGGTTACTAGAAATGCTGCAAAAAGGAAAGAAGGAACGGTTTTGTCACTCTGTGCATAAGGACAGTAAGTTGGCTTCTCAAAATTTTCCTAAATCTCCCAAATGAATTGTTTATTCTGGAACGTTAGGGGAGTGGAATCTGCTAGAGCTAGGTTAGTCTCATTAACTAGGCAATGGCAGATTCAGATTCTTGGTCTTATTGAACCGATTGTTGATTTTTCTAAAGCAAATTCTTTTATGCATGATTTTGGTTTTACTAGAGTCCTTTCTTCTAATTGAAATAAAATTTTGGTCTACAAGGATCCTAATGAGGTGGAGATTTCGGATGTATCATACCATGAGC